TTTGCTGACAGTCTTTATCAAGAAGTAATGTTGAATTTTGTCAAATGCTTTTTCTGGTTCTGTTGAGATAATCATATGGTTTATGTCCTTGGTTCTGTTGATGTGGTATATTACATTTATTGACTTGTGTCTGTTGAACCATTTTTGCATCCCTGGGAAGAATTCCGCTTGATTGTGGTGTATAATTTTTTTGATGTATTGCTGTATTCTACTTGCTTATGTTTTATTGAGAATTTTTGCATCTGTGTTCAACAAAGATTTTGGCCTGTAGTTTTCTTTTTTAGTTGTATCTTTGCCTGGTTTGGGTATCAAGCTGTTGCTGGCCTCATAGAATGAGTTTGGGAGAATGGCCTCTGTTTCAAATGTTTTGGAATGGTTTGGAGAGAATTGGTATTAATTCCTCTTTAAAGGTTTGGTAGAATTCAGCAGTGAAGCCATCCAGTCCTGGGCTTTTCTTAGTTGGGAAACTGCTGATTACTGCTTCAATCTCATTGCTTATTATTTTCCTATTCAGGTTGTCTGTGTCTTCTTGGTTCAGTCTTAGTAGTTTGTATCCAGAAATTTATCCATTTTCTTCAGGTTTTCAAATTTGTTGGTGTAATAGTTGTTTATAATAGTCTCTAATGATTCTTTGTATTTCTGTGGTATTAATTGTAATGTTTCCTCTTTCATTTCTAGTTTTTGTTATTTGGGTCTTCTGTCTTCTTTTTTTAGTTAGTTTAGCTAATGGTTCATCTATTTTGCTTATCTTCTCTAAATACCCACTATTTGTTTCATTGATCTTTTGTATCACTTTTTGGGTTTCTGTTTCATTTACTTCAGCTCTAATCTTAATTTTTTCTTCCCATCTACTAATTTGGGGGTGGATTGTTCTTGTTTTTCTTTGAGGTGTAGCATGATGCTGTTTATTTGAAATCTTTCTATTCTTTTGATATATGCATTTATTGCATTAAAATTCCCTTCTAGTACTGCTTTTGCTGTATCCCACAGGTTTTGGTATGGTATGTCTTCATTTTCATTTGTTTCAGGAAATTTTTTGATTTGCTGTTTAATTTCTTCTTAGACCTATAGGTCACGTTTAATTTCTGTGTGTTTCCATAGTTTTCAGAGTTTTGCTTGCTGTTGATATCTAGTTTTAATTTGTTATGGTCTGAAAAGACACTTGAGATGATTTCACATTTTTAAAATTTGTTGAGACTTTGATTTGTGACCTAACGTGTTCTATCCTGGAAAATGTTGTATGTGCTGATGAGAATGTATATTCTGTAGTTGTTGGATGAAATATTCTGTAGATATCTACCAGTTAGTCTAAAGTGTAGTTTAAATCCTGTATTTCTCTGTTGATTTGTTGCCTAGATGATTTGTCCAATGTTGAGAGAGGTGTGTTTATTTAGGTCCCCAGCTATTATCATATTGGGGTCTATCTTTTTCTTTAGGTCCATTAGTGTTTGCCTTATATATCTGGATGCTCCAGTGTTGAGTGCATATATATTTATGATTGTTATGTCTTCTTGCTGTATAGATCCTTTATCATTATATAATGGCCTTCTTTGTCTCTTTTTATGATTTTTGATTTCAAGTCTATTTTATACAACATGAGAATAGCTACTCCTGCTCATTTTTTATTTTGATTTGTGTGGTATCTCTTTTTCATTCCTTCACTATTAAGCTGTGTGTGTCTTTGCAAGTAAGGTGAATCTCTTATAGACAGCATATATTTGGGACAGCATTTTAATCCATTCAGTGAGTCTGTGTCTTTTAAGTAGAGAGTTTAATCCATTTACATTTAGAGTTGTTATTGAATGGTATTGTCTTTCTCCTGGCATTTATGTGCTTTTCTTATGGTTGATTTAAATATCTTTTGTTCCTTTCCTTCCCTTTTATTGTTTGTCTTAGGTCTCCGTTGGTTTTCTGAGGTAGTATGGTATAGTTTCTTTCTCTTTCTCATTTGTATATCTGCTCTACCAGTGGTGTTTGTTCTTTCTCATCTCTTCATGGTGGTTATTATCATTTTGGGGGTTCCAGGTGCAAGACTCCCTTAAGGATTTCTTGTAGAGCTGGTTGTGTGATGGTGAACTCCCACAGCTTTTGTTAGTCTGAGAAATACACTATTTCCCCTTCATTTCTGAAGGATATCCTTGCTGGGTATAATATTCTTGGCTGGAAGTTTTCTTCTTTTAGTACTTTGAATATATCATCCCATTCTTTTCTGGCTTGTAGAGTTTCTTCTGAGAAGTCTGCTGTTAGTCTGATGGGGACTCCCTTATAGGTGACTTGATGCTTTTCTTTTGCTGTTTTTAGGATTCTGGTTTCGTTTGACTTTTGACAATTTGATTACAATGTGTCTTGCAGAGGGCCTTTTTGGATTGACTCTGCTTGGGGATCTGTGAGCCTTTTGGATGTGGAAGTCCGTATCTCTACCAATACCTGTGAAGTTTTCCACTACTATTTCATTGAATATGATTTCAGTGCCTTTTCCTTTCTCCTTCCCTTTCAGAATACCCATGATTTGGATGTTTGTGCACTTAAGGTTACCTGCTACCTCTCTTAGATTTTCTTCATTTTTTTAAAAATTCTTTTTTCTCTTTTTGTTTTTTGTCTGCTTGGGTTGTTTCGAAAATACTGTCTTCATGATCAGAAATTCTTTCTTCCACTTATTCTAGCCTGCTGCCTACACTCTTGAGTGTAGTTTTTATTTTGTTGAATGAGTCTTTCAGTTCCAGGAGTTCTGCTACATTCTTTTTATGGTATTTATCTCTCTGTAAATGTCCTAGATTGTTTTTCTCATTTTGTTCTGTTGTCTAACTGAGTCTTCTTGTGTCTCACTGAATTTCTTTAAGATTATTATCTGAATTCCATTTCAGACATTTAAAGGGTTTCCTGTTGTTTGAGGTCTGACATTTGGGAATTATATTATTCCTTTGGTTGGGTCATATTTTCTTGTTTTCTCATATCTCTAGTATCCTTACATTGATGTCTAGTAATCTGGTGGAGTGGTTACTTCTTCTTTTACTCTGGGATGGCTTTTGAGGAGAGAGACTCCCTCCTGTAGATTTGTTATATATCAACCATTGGATGGGGTGTTTTAGTTTTGGTTCCTGGTAGACTCAGTAATTTCAGTAGTTCTTGGTTGACTTAGTAAGTCCAGGGAATGCTGACAGCTAAGTCTGTGGCTAGGGACACATGCACAGCTGGAGCCACATGTTGGCTGGACAGCTGGGCCCTTTCATGGGGGTGGGGCTGTGCAGGCAGCTGTGGCAGCTGGGACCATGTGGGCAGATGGATGGCTGGGCCCACGTGGGGTGGGTGGAGCCAAACAGGTGGTCGGGGCCACATGGGTCGCCAGACAGCAGGACCTGCACAGGTGGGTGGGCCACAGGGGCAGCTAGACTACTGGGTCCCTGCCAGTGGGTGGGGCCACCCATGTGGCTGGAGTGGCTGTGGTGGCATGGGCAGCTAGATGGCTGGGTTCATGTGGGAAAGTGTAGCAATGCGAGCAGCCAGGCAGTTGGGGCTGTGTGGGTGGGAAGACAGCTTGGCCTGTGTGGGTGGGGCGGTGTGGATGGCTGGGCCCAGGTGGGCAGGTGGAGCCATGTAGACAGGCAGATGGTAGGGGTCATGTGGACCACCAGGGTTGCACATTGAGGTGTACCGCACAGGATAAACTCCTGTGGGGGGAGAAGGGCCACAGCTCCAGAACTACATAATGACATGGGTAACCACTGTGGTGGTGGGGGCAGGCTGGTGCAGGAGTGGGAGGAGGGTTACCACTGGGAAGTGCTTGTGGCTGGCCGAACAGATTCTTTCCACCACAAGGGAGAATTTCTCCTGGCTGATTCTGGTTTGGGAGACATGGCAGCAGCTGGAGCCATATGCCTCTTTCTTCCCTACACCACTCTGCTTGGTTGTCATGCTGGACAAGGTCCTCACCAGGCTCCCACTGCCCTCCTATGCTCTCCCCCATGCTTAGTTGTCCATTTCTTGCTCTGGTTCCTTTCTGTGGGAGGATCATATGTTGGACATCTCTAGTCTGCCTTCTTTACCCACCTCCTACTCTGATTTCCTTTAGAAAGAGAATTTAATAGTCTAGAATCTAGGCTGCTAGATACCTCTCTTAAATGATATTCCAAGAGCTTTGAAGTGCAAATACTTTCCAAAAGGATGTAGCAAACCTGTTATATAATTAAGATATTGTTTTTAGTTTCATATTAGTGTGAACGTCTTATTTTGATGTCTACTACACCTAAAGAATCAATAAATATTTTTTAATGAATACGAGCAATAAATATACCAGCAATATAGACTAGAATGTCAAGTTCCCAATACTCAACTTTATCTGTAGTGTTTGAAATGTTGCTAATATGCCCTTACTATAATTATTGTATAGGAATGATTATTATGGATATCATACTTGGTAAACAAATATATAACATTTTTCACTCCCCACTTTCCCTACTAGTGCATTTAGTGGAGTTGGCTGGAAAGCATTATTAGTTTTCTACATCTGAAAAAGTGGATGTTGAGATAAGAATTAAGAGTATTTTTAAATGTTATGTAAAACGGTGTATGAGTTCCTTAATTAGCAAATTGAAAAATAACGTTAAGAATGCTCAACCCTTGGGCCAGCCCGGTGGCACACTCGGTAGAGTGCGGCGCTGGCCTGGTGGCACACTCGGTAGAGTGCGGCGCTTGGGAGCGGGGCGGCGCTCCCGCCGGGGGTTCGGATCCCATATAGGGACTGGTCCGCTCACTGGTTGAGCGTGGTGCGGGCACGACACCAAGGGTTGCGATCCCGTTGCCAGTCGCAGTACGGGAGTGACACCGAGGGTTGCGATCCCGTTACCGGTCACAAAAAAGACAAAAAAAAAAGAATGCTCAACCAAGCTGCACTCAGTTTTCATTTAACTCCTAGTTTTAGCATGTCATTGCTGTTGTTTGTCTGATTGTTTTTACCCCCCATTTTGCACAGTTATTTCCATTCTTTCTTGCTGAAATTATAGAGAGAAGGCCAAGTGGAAGCAGGTATCATGACAGCCACAACATGGTTGAAAGAGGGACCTCCAGCATGCAAACTAGAGATGGTAATTAACATTTAAGTCTGTAGCCCACAAAGCCTAGAAAACATGTATTGTGACAATTTTAAGTTTCTTGTCCTTTTTTCTTCATTTTTCAACGTATAAAGAAAAAGCCTCTCAAAAAAAAAACAACTGTCAGTAAAATTTAAGCAGATTTAACATTCATA